AGAGAGCCCAACCCACGTCAGCACTAATACCCTGCTGAACCCTCACCCATTTAATCCTGGAAAGGAGGAGGGCTGGAATCCCACTTCATAGATCAGCAAACTGAGGCACAGAGGGGTAAGTGATCTGCCCAGGAGATCCAGGCCTCAACCCCAGGCTGGCTAACAGCAGAGCTCACGGCTTAACCACGGCTCAGCAAGCCAACTCTAAGCCTCTGCACCATCGAAATACTCGCCCAGGTGCACACCGATTGTGTCCGTGGGTACCCGGTGCAGCATTGCTTATAATAACCCAAAACCAGAACAAAAGAACAAATTCAATAGGCCACAGAGCAAATAAATAATGGGACCCATGGAATTCTGGGCTCCTGACAAAGAGCGAGGCAGCTCTGTGTTCGAAGATGTCCAAGATATACCAGCATGTGGAAGAAGCAAACTGTGAAACTATGTGTGTGAAGCACGTATATACAAATATGCAGGCTTGTGTGTGCACAGAAAAGTCTGGGGAGGTAGACACCACACATCGACAGGGCTTACCTCTGGGCTGCAGAGATCTGAGTGTTGCAGTGAGCACACAATACTTCTGTAATGATAAAAACCATAAAGCTTTTCTCAACACCCATATTCCCCCTGCAGAGCATCTGGCTGCATGTGGAAGTTTCCACACTCCCATCTGGGTGTCAGATGTTCATGCTGGTCCACAGGAGGAAGGCTCAGCAGTCCGTGCCCCCCACACCCACCCTGCTGGAACCCTAGGCACCTCCCACAAGGACCGGGGCTCCGGGCTAGGCTCCCTGACCTCCTCGGCTGGCCTTGAGGGAGAGAGGGGGGCTGCAGAGCCATGGTGGATCCCAAGGTGTCATTTCTGCTCCTGCTGGCTCAGCCGGGCCTCCACTCTGCCCACAGCCTCCATGAAATGGGCTGATAACTCCGGAAGGGAGTTCCCGGGTCATGGAGCGAAGTACTGCGGGGTCAGTAAAAGGTGCTCCCCTCCCCATTTTGCATTTTTCTCTTTTGAGAACCAGTGTTTATTAAAGCTTCTTTTGCATCCCTGAAAGCTACAATTTCCAGACAGGATCCCTGCTCTTCAGGAACTCACAGGCTGGGAAGAAAAGCAGAACCACCGTGCATGGAGTCAGACAGTGACCCAGGGCGAGCCCATGCCAGCCTGGGCAGCCGTCCAGCCACGGGAGCCTGCAGGGCAGGAGGTGCTCAGGGAGGGCCCTGGAGGCCGGGGTGCCGTACACAGTCCCTCTCTCTCCATCATCGCCTCCACCCTGAGTCCAGGCCACGATCACCTCCCACTGGACACAGCAAAGGCCTCCTCCCGTCCACTCCGGCTCCCTTCTACTCTCCTCCAACCTACTCTCCTCTCTGCAGCTGGAGGGATCTTTCTGGATGCAGATGTGGCCTGCCACTGTCCAGCACAAAGCCAGTGTCACTGGGCTCCCCACTGCTCTCGGCACAGAATCTGCCTTTCAGCCTGATCTCCAGCGCTCTGCAGTCTGGTTCTACTTCCTGCACCAACTTTATCACCTGTGCCACATGACCAGTGGTGGCTGGTGGGCTGTACCACTTCCCAGACATTGAAGCTGTGGGGTCACTACCCAAAGGACACTGCCTAAGAGACGCATGGCCCCACAGCCAACTGTGTGTGACCAGGAAATGAAGCCTTGTTGTTCTCAGTGATGAGATTTGGGGGTGTTTGTTACCACATCACAACCGTAGCCTGAGCTGACTATCACGTACATCAATCCATGTGTTTTCCCCAGAAGTTCTCTGATCCCCATCCCCTCCTCCCCACAAAGCCAGGTAAGCTGGCTTTCTGCTAGCGCCCACAGCCCCTGAACTTCCTCTGGTTCAGCCCCAGCAAGCCAGATTAGCATGCCTGGTCATGTGTCTACACCCCCCACTACTTGGCTTCCGTAAGCTCATCAAGGGCAGGGGCCGTTGGGTTCTGGATCCTAGTGCAGGAGGACCAGCAAAGAGTGGGAGTTCGGTAAATGATTGCTAAACCAATGACGAGTTGGAGATGAGCTGGGCTTTGAACAATGGGGAGGCATTAGACAGGAGAAGGAAGTGAGGAGGGTACTCCAGATGGGGGCTCTGTGCAAGCAAAGGGAGCAGAAACGGCCTAAACTGGGGGGCTGCTGGGAGACCGCTAGAGGCCCAGCTGCCTGGTGGGGAGCAGTGAGGGTAGTGGGGAAGATTCGGGGCACACTCCCCTCCATGAGCGTTACTGAGCACCCAATGAGCGTGACTCACAGTCCCTGCACCTCTACCTGGTCCCCAGCCTGGACGCTAAGGACCCAACAACCTGCACTGGCAAGACACTGGCCAAGACCAGCCGGGTGCAGAGAAGGCCCAGCTCCACGGGCAGCCATGCTCTCGCACCAGGCCCTGGCACTTGCAAGGTGACATCCTCCCAGGTCCTGCGTGTCCTTCGTGGGAGGGCTGGACCGCAGACTCTCCTCAAGAGCGACAACCCCAGTGGGGCCGAGATGTTCTTTGCTCGCTCACTTGGCTTCTTTGTGATTTGAAATGTATTTTTTTTCCCGTTCCTAATTAACTCCCTGCCACCCTGCTTGCAGTAAAGCCTGATTTACTTCTGCCTTTCTGCATTCAGGAGCCAGGCTATTTAATCTCAGCCGGCGTGGACTCCAGCACACCGTCTCAATGAAATGCAGATCCCTCATCCTGTTAGCATCCTGCCAGCACTCTTCCATCTTCCTGCCGTCCACAAGCCCGGCCATCCCGAGCCGCTGCTGCTGTAAATCACAGTCTCTCTTTTATAATAACACCCTCTGCCCTTTGGCCACACCTGTCAGCATGGCTGGGACTGTGCCGAGCGACAGTTGGCTGCTCACTCCCATGGGCAAACTAGACCCAGGCAGGGCCAGGCTGGCTAATCCACTGGGAAGCCAGACACTGTCCCCCAGCCTGGCCCTGTGTGGCCAACACTCTTGGTGCTCGGCCAAGCCCAGAGATCACCTGGGGGTAGTTCGCACACATGCCTTCCGGGGCGTCCTCTGCCAGGGAAGCACACGCGGCCCACTGGCCAGGCAGAGCGCTGCACTAGGAGCCAGCACGCCAGCAGTGACCCTCAACCAACAAGGGCGGGAGCAGAGTGGTGAGCTGGTAATCGGAAAGAAAAAGAGAAAGCCCTGATTTGTAATGTGTGCCAATTTCTGTGGTGTAAACACTCCTCCGTGGCTAATTTCAAACCAGCAATGAGCTGCTGCTGAACGCAGAGTTGAGAAGAGATGCACACGCTGCATCTCCAAGCTGGTCCGAGCCAGCTTCCACGCACCACTGGATGGGAGAGAGTGGATTAATACCCCAGCTCCTCACCTCTCGGGGGACAGTTCTGAGGCGTGTTCCACACAGGCTCTAGGAGGGCTGCCAGCAAGGCTGAGCCCCAGCTGCCCACAGTTGTAACCCCCTCTGTTGTGGGTTGAAATGTGTCCCCCAAAGAGACAGGTGGAAGTCCTAACCCTTGGAATCTGTGAACGCGACCTTATTTGCAAATAGGGTCATTGCAGATGTAATTATTTAAGATGAGGTCACATTGGAGTCAGGAGGGCCCTATCCCAATGTCTGATGTACTTATAAGAAGAGGGAATTTGGACACAGACACGCAGAGGGGAGAACACCACTTAAAGATGTGGAGACAGACTCACAGGGAAGAGGCCACGTGACGACAGAGGTGGGGATTGGAGTGATGCGCCCATAAGCCAGGGAACGCCAAGGAGCGCCAGAGCCGCGGGACCTGGAGGAGGCAAGGAGGTATCTTCCTCTAGCGCCGTCAGAGAGAGCGTGGCCCTGCCGATGCCGTGATTTCAGACTTCTGGCCTCCAGGCTGAGAGGGAACACACTTCTGTTGTGTTAGGTCACCTGGTCTGTGGACATTTGTGACAGCAGCGAAAGGAAGCGAATACACCCTCAACAGCACACCCTTAATGGGCCTTCCTCCTTTCCTGTCTCAGTTCTCCTGTCTCTATGGTGTTCCTGGGTCACCTCCCAAGTAAACTAGTGTCCCCAAAGCCTTGCCTCAGGGTCAGCTTTTGGGAGGAGCCAAACAAAGACTGTTCTCCTCTTCGGGCAACACTGGAACTCAGAATCTGGAAGCCCTGGTCCCAGTCTCAGCCTCGCCACGCCCGGGTATGGCACCATGGGCAAGTCCTCCACCGCACTGAGCCTCTGTCACCTCATCCGTAGGTGGGACAGCAATGACACCAACATGAGAATGGGAACAGCTCACGTGTGTGTCCTGAACGGTGATGCGGGTTGTGTTAACAGCCTGTCCGGGAGACCTTACATCAAAAGCTCTCATAGCCGAGTGACAGGACTCAACCCTCCCCTCTTCTGTGGCTCTCGGAGTCCCTAAAGGACGAGAGGAACAGGGGAGGCAGAGCTGTTTCATAGAGCACGCAGGCTTCTCTCCAGGGTGGCAGCTGGCCTCCGTCGTCTCTGCCGCTTGTTTCACCCTTGTCAATGTGCGTGCATTGTTCCTCTGCATTGTCCATGTGCCTCTCAGGTCACCACCCACCAATGTCAGGGACTTGTTCTTGATCTCTGACAGTCCTTGCGATTTCTTTTCTCACTGCCACTGCAGCCTAGAGCTGCTCCCACCTGCCTCCCAAGCTCCAGCAATCACCTTTCTCACCTGCCTGGAGGGAAAGGCCTCCCTTTCTTAGGTCCCCCTGCAGCAAGGGGGCATGGGCGGTCTTTGCCATGTGGTCCTCTCCTGAGGAATGTGAGCTCCCTCCATCCTCACAGAGGACAGGGCCAGGCAGGGCAGGCAAGATGAGGGAAGTAGTGGAGGTGAAAGTAGTGGTGGAGGCGCTGGTGGAGATGGTGGTGATGGAGGTGGAGGTGGTGGAAGTGTAGTGGTGGAGATGGTGGTGGTGGAGGTAGTGGTGGTGGAGATGGTAGAGGTGGTGAAGGTGGTGGTCACGGTGGTGAAGGTGGTAGTGGTGGAGGTGGAGGTGGTGGAGGAGGAGATGGTGGTGGTGGAGGTAGTGGAGGTGGTAGTGGTGGAGATGGTGCTGGTGGAGGTAGTGGTAATGGAGATGGTGGAGGTGGTAGAAGTTGTGGTGGTGGAAGCGGTGGTGGTGGAGGTAGTGGTGGTGGAAATGATGGAGGTGGTGGACATGGTAGAGGTGGTGGAGATGGTGGAGGTAGAGGTGGAGGTAAAGGTGGTGGAGGAGGAGATGGTGGAGGTGGTGGAGATGGTGGAGGTGGTAGAGATGATCGAGGTAGAGATGGAGGTAAAGGTGGTGGAGGAGGGGATGGTGGAGGTGGTGGAGGTGGTGGTGAAGGTGGTGGTGGTGGTGGTGATGGTGGTGGAGATGGTGGAGGTGGAGGTGGAGGATGTGAGTTTGTCACCCACACAAATTCAGCCCTGAGTAAAGACACAGGCCATAGATGATGCTGATGCTGCTGGGCCATGGATGGAGTTTTGAGTAGCTCTGTCTCCAGTGCTACTCCCATTCCTGCCTGGATGGTCTCCAAACCCCTCATTGAATAGAAGCTTCTTAAACCTCGTCCTAGGGCATCAGGCCAGCTGTATCAGTCAGGAGTGCTTGCAATGCCAGAGAGATCTTGGGCAGCATTCCCAAACTGGTTAACGGGCCTGGGGCCAGGGCCTGGGCCAAGCCAGGGGTGAGCTTTGGTCTGAGCTGGACTGGTCATTGGAATCAAAGTGAGTCGGTAGACAGAACCAAAATCCTAAATGTGGCCCTCAGGCCCTGCAAGACCAGCCTTTGCCACCTTCAACAGTCTCATCTCAAACCATGATTCCCACCCTCAATTTGCTCCTATGATGCTGTCCTTGGTCCAGTCCCTCAGGGATGTTCTTGGCCCCTGCCCTCTGACACTCCTTTACCCTGGTTAACATCTCAGCTGTTGGTCACCTCCATGGAGAAGTCTCCCCGACCCCCACCCTTGGTCAGGACTCTGATGCATGTGTCGTGTCACCCTGTCCATCTCCCAGTGGCAGTAATGCTGTGGTACTGTGGTGGCCCTGGGTGTGCAGGCCCTGGGTGTGGCCCTGGAGAGCATTCAGCTCTCCCTTGGGGAGGTGAATGCCAAGGGAGTACAGTGAGCAGGTGGCCAGGGAGGCAGCCCTGGGGCATGGTGGGGCCGTTCCTGCCCTACCCAGAAATCTCTAGAGCTCCCCGCTGGCCTGGCCGGGACTTGGTCGGAGCTGCACTGCAGTCTGAGACTCTCCCTATCCACCCCTCCGTCCTCCCCCTCCTTCCTTCGCAGGCATCAGACCTTCATCATGGTCTGAAGGTGAATGCCTTTTCACGCGGTGCTGTGTCATCCAAATACCATTTTTAATTTTTATTTTTTTATTCCTTTTGCAGGAAAAGATTCACCCTAAGCTAACATCTATTGCCAATCTTCCTCCTTTTTTCCTTCTCCCTGCCACCCACAAAGCCACAGTACATAGTTGTGCATAGTTGTAAGTTCTTCTGGTTCTTCTACATGAGCCGCCACCACAGCATGGCTACTGATAGATAAGGGGTGTGGTTCTGCGCCCAGGAACCCAACCCGGGCTGCTGAAGAAGAGCGTGCTGAACTTCAACTGCTAGGCCATCAGGGCTGGCTCCCAAATACCATTTTTGGCAAAGCATCTATTCAAATCTTTTGTGCATTTTTTATTAGGTGATATGTTTTCTCGTTGAGTTTTGAGAGCTCTATGTATGTTCTGGATACAAGTCCTTTGTCCGATATGTGTTTTGCTGAAGCCTCATTTTAAGACCAAGGCCCAAACCCCAAGGGTGAGTCTCTGTGCACCTCAAAGTCACAGTCATTTGTTTGTAAAACAAATCTGTGCCAGTGACCACTCAGTGGTGTGGTCAGAGCCACAAGGCCAGGGACTAGGGGCGTCTGGAGGAGCGACTCTGGGGCCAGCCTGGGAAGCTGGGAGAAGCGAGAGCTGACGGGCCAGAAGGGGTTAGCCACGTAAAGGAAGAGGAGAGAGTATGCTGAGGGGAAGAGAAGGAGAGAAAATTCTAGACCTGTTCTGTCCAATATGGTAGCCACTGGGCATGTACAGCTATTGAGCACTTGACATATAGCCCATGAGACTGAGGAACCAAATTTTATCTTATTTAATTTTAATTTAAGAACCAATAACTGAATTCAATTATTGGGAAACTTTTAAGTAAGTTTGGTACAGCTTAGGTTTGCTAACCTACTTTCCCAACTGCAGGTTTTGTGAAATCTAAATACACGTCAAGCGTTTCTCATTAAAAAGTCGAGTCTGAGTCGAGACGTGTTGCACGTGTGAAATACACACCAGATTTCAGAGACTCAATGCAAAAGGAAGAACTTAAGTTATGTCATTAATAATTTTTATATTGATTACATGTTGAAATGATGATATTTTGCACATATCAGGTTAAATAAAAGATATTTTAAAATTCACTCCACCTGTTTCTTCTTACTTTTTTAACGAGGCTGCGAGAACATTTTAGGTCACTTACATCGCTTGCGTTTGTGGCCTGCATTCTATTTCTAGGGTCAGCAGCTCTGCTCTGACAGTGGGCACAGAAGCCCAGCATGCTGTCACACGTGCTCATGGCCTGGCACACGCCTGCCCATGGCAGCAGCCCTCCATGGGGCCTGGGTGTTCACTGAGTCCAGATTACAAAGGAGACCACACCCCTGTCACGTGGAGCTGGAGGGGTTCAGAGAGACCAGGGGGTAGTATTGGGAGTGTCAACCCACGTGAAACACATGCACACACATATGTACGCACGTGCACACACACACTCTTCCTTTCAACCCCACGACCCACCCTGTTAGGTGGGCAGCCATCCCCTCAGGGCAGAGAACTTAGAAGAGAATGCAAAATCTTGACCATTAGGGTAAAAAAAAAAATGTGGTTCCAGAAAGACTTGGGAATAACTAAGATCCGGAGACTGGATTCTCTCCACTCCCAAACTAGAAGGAGCTCCTTCCAGCCGGGAGAGGAAAGAGGAGAGGCCCAGGGCAAGCAAGTGGATTGGATGCTCCCGGAGGCTCTGAGAAGGGGTCCTGCAGCCTGCCACCCCTCAGATAGGAGGGGCATAAGAATCCCCCAGAGGTTGGACACGTGGGAACAGACGGACCCCAGGGAAATGGTAAGTGGGGGGCCCACTGTGCTAACACAGAGGGAGCTGGCTGGGGGCAGGGAGGACGAGCAGAAGTTAGTGAGGGACAGTGAGCAGGATGACACAGAGGAAACACACTCCGTGGAGGACGGGCACCTTGGGGATGGCTAGAGCAGGGGATCAGACATGACAGTGTCCCTCCAGGAGACAACCCCTGGCCAGGTGCCTCCCCAGTGCCACAAGTCTGCATCACCCCTAGAACATAACTGCCACTCCAGGCCAAAAGAAGGGCAAAGAGATGCTCCCAACTGTCTGAGTTGAAATGACCAAGTTTACCTGGAACTGGCCAAGATGACATTTTCTGCCCTCAATCAGAATAGAGGCCTGAAATAGCCATTAGGTTGAGTTTCAGAAACATGTAGTCCTGGTTTTGCTTCACCGGAGTACATGGAGTGAGAAATGCATCCCCACTGCCCAAGTCACATGACAATTTCCTTCCCAGAGTGGCTGGGAAGCTTCCAGAACTTGGCTGTGTGGCTGAAGGCAGGAGTGGCCAGACCCCTGGGGCTTGAAACATGCACCCCAAGCTAAGACCCTGGCAAAGGGAGCAAGGCAAATTCCCCCTGGAGCTGTGTCGGGAGGCTGACCTTGCTCCTCTGGGTCTGCTGAGCTCCGGTCAGGGGCGGGCAGCCTGGGAAGGGGAGCGTTGATGAATGGCCTTGCAGAACCAGACTTTCCTGAACAGCCAAGACCAAGGCCAAGGCTGGCGGGCAAGAGCAGTGGGCAGAGGCAGGGCTGCTGGATGAATGGAAGCGGTGGTCACGGGACTCCCAGGTCTGGGCCCCAGGGACCCCTCCCCAACACCATCCTATTTTCTCACCTGCAGATGCCCATAGCTGGGGAGCAGGACATGGGCCGGCGGCCCACGACGCTGGTCACACCCCTCTGGCTCTGGAGGAGGGAATCCAGGTGCTAATGAGAACAAACCACAGCCTAGAGAACTCATTAGTGGCTCCCAGATGAGATTCTCCCGGGACCCTCTACACCAGCGAGTCAACAGAGCCCCTCGCTGGGTTTCCTTGTGGTGCATGAGCGACACCTGGTGGTTGCAGGTGGGAATTTCAAGTCATGTTTTCCAGGATGCCAGGGACACCCCCAGCCGGGACCCCACCCATCTCGGGGCAAAAGCGGGACCACCCACTGAGCTTCGCAGTGGCTCAGCACCTGCCCGAGGACTTGGCACAGCGGCAGCAAGGTGTAGCTGCAGGGACCACACCTCCCAGTCAGGTGGAGTTCTTTCATTCATTCATTCCCCCAAACACGTATTGAGTGCTCACTGAATGCAGGCCATTAGGGATAGAGAGAGCAACAAAATGGTCACGTGCTTGGCTTCACGGAGTTCACACCATAAGGGGAGGAGGCAGAGAACAAGCACGAGGAGAAGTAATGAGATCATTCCATACTGTGTGAGTGCTGGGAGAATTCACGAAGTTCAGGAACAGAATCCAAAGTCTCTCTCAGGATCTGAACAGACAGTTTTCCAAAGAAGATATAGAGATGGCCAAGAGGCACATGAAAAGATGTTCACCATCACCAATTATTAGGGAAATGCAAATCAAAACTACAATCAGATATCACCTCACACCCGCCAGAATGGCTATTATTTAAAAGACAAGAAATAACCAGTGTTAGAGAGGATGTGGAGAAAAGGGAACTCACATACAATGCCGGTGGGAATGGGAACTGGTGCAGCCACTATGGAAAACAGTATGGAGGTTCCTCAAAAAATTAAAAATAGAACTGCCGTATGATCCAGCTATTCTACTTCTGGGCATTTATCTAAAGAACACAAAAACACTAATTCAAAAAGGTATATGCACCACTATGTTTATTGCAGCATTATTCACAATAGCCAAGACTTGGAAGCAACCTAAGTACTCATCAGTGACAGAACAGATGAAGATGCGGTATATATACACAATGGAACACTACTCCGCCATAAGAAAGATGAAATCATGCCATTTGCAGCAACATGGATGGACCTCGAGTGTATTATGCTAAGCAAAATAAGCCAGGCAAAGACAAACACCATATGATTTCACTCATATGTGGAAGATGAACAAACACATAAACACGTAGACACAGAAAACAGATTGGTGGTTACCAGAGGGGAAGGAGTGGAGGAAAGGCAAAAGGCGTAGAGGGGCACATGTGTACAGTGACAGATGGCAGCTAGACTTTTGGTGGTGAACATGATGCAGTCTATACAGAAGTTGACATATAATGATGTATACCTGAAATTTATATAACGTTGTAAACCAATGTGACTTCAATTTTAAAAAATCTTCCTCAGGGCCTTCACTGAACTTCTTCTCAGCCTCCCCTCCCAACACTCCCCTTAACATGGGTCCTGGGCCCATCCTCATGGGGCACCTACAAGTCCTTATCTGCAGTGCTGTCCAGGCCTCAGGCCCTTTGCACATGCCACTCCCTCTAGCTCCAGTGCCCTTCCTACCTCAGCCCCCTGACAAATCTCACTTGTCTTTACAACTAAACTCGAGGGTCACCTCCTCCATGAAGCATTCCTGCCCCCTCCTTCAACTCATTATTCGTGCACCTTGTATGGACTCTTACAGAAGGTCAGAAAGTGAAGCGGTTGTGAGCACTGGGCTTGGAGCTGAGAAGACCTGTCTCCAGCTCTGACTCTGCTGCTTCCTCATTGGTGGCCTCAGGCAGTTCTTAACCTGTCTTAGCCCAGTTTCCTTGCCAGTGAAAAATGGGACTTATGATAGCACACATCTCCTAGTTGGGAAAATTTAATGCTTCAATGTCAGTAAAGTGCTTCGCACATCTTCCGGCACAAAGAAAACACGTTAAGTAAATATTAGCTGCAATTATTATTGATATTATTATTGGATCCAGAGGCCAGACAAGTGGCTGTTTGTTGCCTGGCTTCCCCGTGAGGCTCTGAGCATCCTACTAGGTCTGGTCTCATGGAGTGGGCCTTTTCCTGCTGCCCCAGAACTGTGGGCTGGGACTCTAAGCTGGAGGCCGAGGGGTATCGGGAGGCCCCAGCCAGCAGCCAGCAGGAGAAGACGTCTTCTCAGGGCTGAAGAGGTGGCCACCTCCCCTCCCTCCACCCCCAGCCATAGAAGCAGGAGACTGTGGAGGAGGCGGGAGGAGAAACCAGGCATCGAGGGGAGGGCCAGGGTGGGGAAGGTGGGGTAGTGGTGAGTTAAGTAAGAGCCACTTGGTTTTTTCCCTCTCCCTCCTCCCCTCCCACTCCCATCCCCACAACCCGGCACAGAGGGAGGAAGAGGAAGGAGAGGCGGCTGGTTACCCCCCTCACTCTCCCTCCCCCGGCTCTCGGGGCCAGGCCTGGCTGCTCTGCAGGAGGGGACAAGATGAGCGTGAAATTGGATTTGAGTCGGAAGTTTTAGGTTCAACCAAACCGGCCTTTTTATGGCCCAAAATTGCCTGGGAAAGGACGGAATCTGCCCAAGCCCTAGCGAAAGGGCCAGGAAGCGGAGACTGGAAAGAGCAAGGCTGAGGAGAGTGAATCACCAGTGGGAAAAACCGAACCATTTCCTGTGCTTTCCCGGCAGAGGCCAGAGCGCTCACAAACAGCCACGCTTGTCTCCCCGGGGCCTGGAGCCGGTGCCCAGCCCAAGGTGGCCGGGGAGTTCCATGTCCCAGACGTGCTCCACACGAGGGTCTTGGCCCTGGACGCCCCAGTGCCCATGCTCTCAGCAGACTCATGGCCTCGCGCTCAAAGGTGGCCCACGCTTGGTTCCCTGCTCTGCATCACCATCTTGAAATTCTTAACACCTTTTGAACAAGGGACGCCGCATTTTCATTTTGCACTGGGCCCCGCAAATTGTGTATCAGGTCCTGGGATGGCTCCTTGCTTCCCAAGGTCGCAGCCAGCAAATGGAACCCACTCCTCAGGCTCCAGGGCTCCTGTGCATACTGCTCCCCAGGAGCACCGTCTGAAAATCTCTGACCCTGGGCAGGATCCTCCACCCTCCTCCCTCCCCAGGAGGCAGGCTCTGAGCCCACCGCCCCTGATGCCCCGGGCTCTGAGCCCCTCGGCCTGTGCACACCACCAGAAGAGGGGCCCCAGCAAGCAGGAGAGGGCCACCATCGCACGCTGCTCTAGCCCATTTCAGGAGAGAGGTGGGGAGGGCAGTGCTGCTGGTCATCTGGGCACAGCAACCTGCAGGAAGTGAGGCAGAATTTCCAGACAACTGCAAGGGGATGAGAAGCCCAAGGTCAAGGAGGGAGACGAGCTCACAATAGGAATAAAGTAAGTGCAAGCCTGTGGCGAGCACGCCCCGTGTGCCAGGCACTGTGCTAAGTTCCTTCCGTGTATCAACACACTGAATCTTCACAAATGTTCAGGCTCGATGATATCCTCTCTAGTTTACAGAATTAGGAAACTGAGGCACAGAGAGGTAAGTAACTATCCAAGAGTCAGCACAGATAGTAAGTGGCAGAGCCCTGGTGTACCCAGGATATACTTGGCACTCTGGGTGTTTTCCCATGATCTCTGACCTCTGCACTAACTCCATGGTAGTTATTAACACTAACCAAAGATTCTGATGTCTTCACAGTCTAAGGTAGGTTTATACTTCTTGGCCCCTTTGTTGATGGGGACACAACTTGTTCTATATTAGTTTCGGGGTTCTCCAGAGAAATAGAACCATTAGGAGATAATATATATGTATATACACATATATATAATGTTGTATATAATACATGTTATATATACAATTATACAATAATAATATATCAGGAGACATACTGTATTTATATATGTCAAAAGATTTATTTTAAGAAATTAGCTCACACACTTGTGGGGCTGGCAAGTCTAGAATCTGCAGGGCAGGCCAGCAGTCTGGAAACTTGGGTAGCAGTTGATATTGCAGTCTTGAGGCAAAATTACTTCTCTTTGAAACCTCAGTTTTTGTTCTAAAGGCCTTCAACTGATTGGATAAGGCCCTCCCACATTATCAAGGGATAAATAAAGTCAACCTTTACATAAAGTCAACCAATTGTAGAGGTCGACTACACCTACATAACACCTACAGATCACAGCAACATCTAGATTAGTGTTTGATTAAATCACTGGATACTAAAGCCCACCTCAATTGACACATAAAACTAACCATCACAAGTTCTGACCGACGAGCTGTGTGGCGTGTCTCTTCCAGGTTGTGCGTTTAACTATCAGTGTAACATCCTCCCGAGCTCATTCTTTCCCTCTACTCAGCGACCAGCAGTGTTCACAATGGTGGCTGCCAGGTCAGCCTGGATCCTGGGGTGAGGTGACACGAAAGAGACCTCCCAAACAACTTTGATGGCCTTGAGGTGGGAGCCGGAAATAAATCTTGGGTTTAGGAGAATTTTGTGAAGCTAAACTAAGTCTAAAGAAATTGGGTCCCTCTGCTTCACCCTGCATTTGTGCAGCCCTTGTGAACTGGCTTGCTGTTTCTTGAACATCCTCCAAATGCATCCCCAGATCCTAGCCTGCTCCTCACAGGCAACTTTATAAAAGGCTCCACGTATTGCTACCAAAGGTGAAATGATAACACACACAAAGCTGTGATGCTTGAACCTCGATCAGTGCCCGAGATAGAAAGTCACCCGGCTGTTCAGCCTGCTAACTTGGTTCTCAAAATTGCTGACTGTTAGTTTCCATAAATGTTCCCTTTCTGGGGTTTGGGGGACAAGTAAGTAGAATCTAGGTTCCAATAGGGAAGAGCCTCAGCAGGTGATGCTTGGTCCCACAACTAACTCTTCCTTAAAAACTGCTGACCTTGGGTGAGATAATCAGCCAGCAAGACAACTAACTCTCTCTTACAAACCCTGGCTGGCAGCACCCTAGAGAATCCCCTTGTTTACTTCCCAGAGAAGTTACAAAGCTCATCCTAAAGAGAGGGCCCTCTGCCATGCTCTCAAGGCCCCTGGGGACTATGCCTGCCTGCCATCCATCCATCTATCCATCCATCCATCCATTCACCCACTCATTCATCCATCTATCCACTAATTCATCCAACCAGCCAGCCAGCCAGCCACTCATCCATCCATCCATCCATCTACTCATCCATCCATCCATTCCCCCACTCATTCATCCATCTATCCACTCATCCATCCATCTATCCACTCATTCATCCATCCATCCACTCATCCATCCATCCATCCATCCATCCATCCATCCATCCGTCCATCCATCCACTCATCCATCCATCCACTCATCCATCCA